TGCAACATAAGCCTATTGTTCCCATAAACTTTAGTTGCAATACCCAGAAATCAATGGAATCTCCCCAAGTATGCTACAAAGAAGACTTGATTTCCCTGATCCAACCGTCCCACAAACAGCAACTTTTTGCCCTCTCAGTACCTCAAAATCTGCCAGTGATTTTCAATTTAGGCCTCGCTAATTCGTCTTCATCATTTGTGCTACTCCAGGCATGTTCCCCTGGCTCAATTTTCACTGCAATGGCTTCAGATGAGGAATGAACACAAGGTTCGTACTCCCTCTTATCTTCCTTCCCAACAAACTTTTCTATGCGATTGATTGAGACCCTAGTTTGAGCAATAGTTGAAACCAGTTCTGGCAGATTATAGATAGGCTCTCTTAGAGAAGCAAAAGTTGCAATAGCTGAGAGGACCATGCCAGATGTTAATGGAGTGTTTAACCATATACAGGTTCCAAAAGTGATTGCAGATACTAAAGTGGGAGAAGTCCAGAACAAAAACTGGATTGCTGCAGAGGTGAAAAGATATCTGTTAACCCAGCTTCTCTCAATTCCTCTTAGAAGGAGAAGCTTCTCCAAGAAAGCTGGCTCCCATGAATGCAGCTTCAGTACTCTCATATTCTTCAAACACTCTGAAGTGGCTTTGATTCTAGAATCCTTAGCATCCATAATATTTGAATGAAGACAAGATTGCAGTTTAGCCAAAGGGATGTTTGCAGTCATTACAAAAAATGTGGCAAAGAGGGAAACGAAAGACGGACCAGGACCCAGATTGTAGCAGAGAATTGATAAAGCTAACATAACTTGAACAGGAAGCAACCAGATATTATGAAGATTATAGAAGAAATCTCCTACACGATCAACATCTACGTTTATGAGATTGGTAATTTTTCCATTATCAGCAGAAATACCTTCGCCGCACAGAGTTTTCTTATATAAAAAAACGGTTAGAGCAGCCTTGACCTGGATACCGATCCTTTGAGCACCAAAGTACCATTGTCGTTGAGTCAAGGACTCGATTGTCTTGGAGAGGAAGAAGATGAAAGCAAGAATCAATCCATTACGATAACTTTCTTGATTACGCTTTTGGGTTAAGAAACTAACGAAGTAGGAGATTAGAAAAGGGCCCATGTAAGAAGCAATTGTATTTACCCCAGCGAAAACTCCATTAATGGCGAGAGGTTTCCAGGCGGAATAGATTAAGGATTTTTGCAGAGACGAATGGTTGAGAGATTTCTGGAGCAATGAGGAAGAGGATTCTGCTGTTTCTGGGATGGAAAGTGAAGGAATATCTGAGAGGGTGATTTTTTGAAACTGGCTCTTTTTGAAAATTGGATTTAGCCATCGAAACGTAATGCGACTCCAGTTTCCAGCTCTGCTAAAACCTTCATCATCATCATCAAAATCCTCCTCTTCTTCTGCTTCTGCTTCAACCAATAACGGATCTTCAATATTCTCTTCATCGCCATTATTACTACCTTCTCCTCTACGTTTAAACATCTGAACCAGAATCCACGTAATTGCGGCTGTAGAAAACGAAATACCAGAAGCTCTATCAGTTAGGAGACGCCAACCAAACCTGATTTCTCGTCTCTATAAAACCAAATTCACGAATTTGAATTTCTAAATATTTTCATATTATTAATTATATACAATTCGTTTTCCGTGTTAGTTACATTCATTTTGTTATTTAATTGTTGTTGTTCGTTTGGGTTTCCATTTTAGGAATTGACAAGATTCTTAGCGTAAATATTTTCAGCAGATTCTAAAAATTATTACCTTTTCCAAGTAATTTCAGCCAACTCCATGTTAAATAAATTCAAGATTTCTTTTCTCAAAGTTTATATGATTTTTAGCTTTAATAATCGAAAAAAAAAATTAAAAATAAAATAACTTTAGATAATATTTTATTTTTTAATTTACTCATAACCAATAATAAATAAATAAATAAAATTAAGTTTATTGCGTACCTCTGATTTGTAGTTGTAATCTCCGAATATATGTTCTCTTGTTTTCTCTATTTAATCGCATAACTCCCGTAATTAGATCAAAAGAGAAAATGTTTACGAGCTAATTAACATTACATTACATATATATATATA